CAGTTACAAAGAGCCACGTTAATCCAATTTTGCAAGTCACATCCACGTGGGAGGGATGCCAAAGAGAATGACGATGACGTAGGACCAGCAAGAAGATTCCCTGCTTTGTTCAAGGAAGGAAGCTCTGCTCTCAACCCTCGGAATACTCGGCCCCATCTTTAAGGCTGAACTTGGCTCTGGGTGGGGGATGGGAAGAAGCTCACAGCACTCGCCCTGACGGTGAGTCACCGATACGCTACGGAGGACCAGTGCCAGCAAACGGTGCCCTAAAAAAAAAACCTAGCCAAACAAAAAAGGTGAGCCACACCCTGAACTACCCTAAGGAAGCAACGTGTTGTTTCCCTTTGGGGAGATCTGAAGCAGGAGGCCGGCTGCCTGTCTTGGTTTTGGGCAATGATCCCTCCTGGGGATAAGGGTTTAAAGTTTAGTGAGTCAGAGTCAACCATGCTCAACCTGGCCCTGATTTCCGTCTCTGGGCTCTTTGTCCTCTGAAACCTTGTGAGAAAGTAGCAGACACCTGATACTGCAGGCTCTTCTCACTTGCCCTGAGAAGATGAGAACCTGTCTTACACAAAGGGAAGCCCGAAAATGGTAAATTCTGCTGTTTTTAAGCCAGCCACTGAGGATTCTGGTCACCAGAATCACTTGGGGAGCTTTTAAAAAAAGGATGCAGGTATCTGGCTCCACTGTAGACAGACTGAATCAGGAATTCTGGGATGGGGTCCAGGAATGTGTACTTTATGAATCACCCAGATGATTCGATGACAAACCAGGTCAGGGGAAATCTGATATAAGGAGCCCAAAAAGAAGTCTCACTCTGGTGATTCAATCATTAAAACCCTATCGGCACATGAAGAGCTCTTCTAAATCAATAAGAAAAATATGAACCACCCCACAGAAATACAGACAAAAGTGATTTCCTTTAAAAAAAAAGCAGTGGCCAATAGCTACATAGAAAGCTGTTCATCCTTGATAATAAAGAATTGAAGGAACCAGATGTAATGGGTTTTGCACAACAATCAGCAGAGCTTTAAACATTGGATGATTCTGAGCGTGGCAGGATAAGAGGAAACTGACACTCTTGTCTGTTGGTGGGAGTGTGAATCGACGCAATGTGTTTGGAGAGCAGTTTAGCAATCTCTGTCAAAATTTTACATGAATGTAGCTTTGATGAAGCACTTGCAAGGATTTTACTCTGCAGATATATTTGAAGCAGCATGCAAAAGATACATGTGCACGAATGCTCCTTGCACCACTGTTTATAATAGCAAGGTCTGGAAACAGCCGTAATGTCCATCAATAGGCGACAGTTGTACATTATGTTACAACCCTACAATTATTATTCTCCATATGTTAAGAAGAACAGGCTGGATTTACATCTACCTAGCTCTGGAGAATGTTATTTTGTGGAAAAAAAGCAGTTATGTGTGGTTGGAATCCATTTTGGGAAAACAAAAAAAGGTAGAAATTGGTATTTGTGCTTATATGTGCATAGAATATTGCGAAAGAATTTTTGGAAACTGTAAAATGAAGTTACTCCTGGAGAATGGGAATAAAGATTTAGGGGAGAAAGGTATCTTTTATTTACTTTTCGCTTGTCAACCTTATAAATTATTTGAATTTTACCATGAACATATATTGCTTTTGTAAAAACAAAACAAAGCAAATACACTAAAATAAAGAAGTTAAAACACACATACACACACCCGCTCTGAGTATGGTGACTACCTCACTCTCTGGTCTCACTTCCTGTAGCAGATGCCCGCAGGGTGGGGCCGCGCCTCCTGCGCCCACCTCTGAATTGCACTGCAGACTCACGGCCAGTCCTTGCAAACTTAACTCCTTTCCGGCAACTAGCACTTGCCACAAGCCGCTGTCCTTTCACTGTCTACCCCAGGACCTTTACTGATGTCCCTTGAGTCTGACACCTGAGAAGAACAGGAGATGCAGTCTCCCAGGAGCAACCATTAATGGTGACCAAGTGTGGGGGTAAATGCCTCAGCCCCACCCTTCAGAGTGGTATGCAAGGCATTCCGCACCCTTCTCAGAGGAGCTGGTGAGGTCCCGCCCTCCTTGTCTGCAGTGAGGATCTTGACAGCACACTGTTCTCTGTCTCCTTGCCCTTCTCCCTCCCTCACGCTTCAGGATCAGCACCCACATAAACTACTTCACTCAGATACCCACCTTGCAGGGAACCCAAACTCAGCCACCTCTTCTGAACCGTAGGTTCCTGAAAGCCACCCTTCCCTAAGGTTTAGGCGAGGCCATGTAGAGGGTAGGAGCCCCACTGATAGCAGCAATAATGGTTAACACATTGGTGGAGATGTCCAGCATTGTGTTGGGGTCTTTGCACAGCTGCCTTGTGTCATTATCCCAGCAACCTGCGGAGGGGATCATTTGGACCCCCATTTTACACTTGAGAAAACAGGGATAGCTGGGGATTCCTAAGTCCAGGTCTCAGGGAGCTGGGTTGACAAATACACAGGGTCCTTGCTTCAGACGGGGCCAGCTCATGCTCCTTTGGCCCTTGATTACAGGGTATGGGGCTCCCAGTCCGGCGGGCTTTCCAGGGCAGCATGTATCAGGTGACTTGAACAGAGGCAGACGAACAAATCTAAACTGGGCAAAACAAGACCAAGATATCAAGATACAAGAGTCAAGCAGTTTGGGAATAAAGGAATAAAGCGGTAGAAGAAGGTAACTCCTTTTTTTTCATGTGTTTAAAAAAAATAGGGCCTTGCTTTGTCACCCAGGCTGGAGTGCAGTAGTGCGACCGTGGCTCACTGCAGCCTGGACCTGCAGGGGATCAAGCGATCCTCCCACCTCAGCCTCCTGAGTAGCTGAGACCACAGGCATGCATCAGCATACTTGGCTAACTAAAAAAAATTTTTTTCTTTTTTTTTTTGTAGAGACAGGGTCTTACTATTTTGACCAGGCTGGTCTCAAACACCTGGGCTCAACCGATTCTCCTGGCCTGGCTTTCCAAATTGCTGAGATTACAGGTGTGAGCCACTGCACCTGGCCAGGAGGTATTTCTTATCAGGAAGCAAGAGGAGATAATTGACCAGCCCATGGAGGCAGGTGTTGTGCAGAGTGCTTGTGTCCACCCAGGATTTCACGTGTTGAAATTCTAACCCCCAAAGGGATGGTGTGAGGAGGTGGGGCCTTTAGGCAGTGGTCACGAGGGCAGGATCTTTGCGAATGGGATTAAAGCCCTTAAAAGAGGAGAAATAGGAGCTGGCTCTGCATCTCTCTTCCCACTCTGGGAGGATACAGCAAGTAGATGGCCATCAGGACGCAGCCCTTATGAAGCACCAAATCCGCCGGTGCCTTGATGTGGGATTTTCAGCCTCCAGAGCTGAGAGGAATAAATTTCTGTGTTTAAGCCACTGAATCTACAGTAATTTGTTAAGGCAGCGCAAGGAGACCTAGACAAAGAGGAAGGGAGAAGGGGGTGGTTCAGGGCAGAGCTGGAAGGCAGGACTGGGTTCTTACTTGAAGAGCCCATTGGAACCGACGTGGGCTATGGACCCCTCCTCAAGTTAGGTAGTAACTTATAAGTAAAAAAAAAAAAAAAAAAGTATATATATATATATATATATATATACACACACACATATATATATATACAAATTAAAATTAAAATTTTAAATTCAAGAGGTTAGTGTGCAGGTTTGTTAGAGGGCGTGTTTGGTAGCGCTGAGGTTCAGTTCAGCGCTTCCTTTGATCCCATCCCCCGGATAGTGAATGGGGCATGCATAGGAAGCTTTCCTGTCCTTGCCCCTCCTTCTCCCTCCTCCGTCTGGCCAGAGAAAGGACAGGACTGAGAAAGGACAGTTTCCCCAGTGTCTGTTGTTTCCACCTTTACATCTATGTGCACCGGGGGCTAGCTCCCACTTATAAGTGAGAATATGTGATCATTTGTATCTCTGTTTCTGCATTAATTTGCTTAGGATAATGGCCTCCAGCTGCATCCATGTTGCTGCAGAGGACAGAACTTCCTTTTTTTTTTTCTTTAGACTTGCTCTTTTCCCCAGGCTGGAGGGCAGTAGTGTGATCTCAGCTCACCGCAACCTTCACCTTCTGGGTTCAAGTAATCCTCCTGCCTCAGCCTCCCAAGTAGCTGGGATTATAGGCACGTGCCACTGCACCCAGCTAATTTTTTGTATTTTTAGTAGAGACAGGGTTTCACCATGTTGACCAGGCTGGTCTCAAACTCCTGACCTCGTGATTTGCATGCCTCAGCCTCCCAAAGTGCTGGGATTACAGGTGTGAGCCCCCGCACCCGGCCCTTTCTCGTGGCTGCACAGTTTTCCATGCTGTATATGTACTGGCTATTGTTTGTCCAGTCCACCATTGATGCCACCTAGGTTGCTTCCATGTCTTTGCTATTGTGAATCATGCTGCAATAAACACACGACTGTAGATGTCTTTTTGGTAGAATGACTTATTTTCTTTTGGGTATACACCTAAGAAGGGGATTGGTGCCTCAAATGGTAGCTCTATTTCTAGTTCTTTAAGAAATCTCCAAACTGCTTTCCACAGTGACTGAACTAATTTTCCTTCCCACCAACAGTGTATGAGCATTGAACACCTTTTGTAATCAACTGTCATCTAAATGAGGATATTCTTCCTGCAAAGCCATTGTGTTTGCTATGCAAATGTGGCTTCTAGATGAATACCTAGCTCTCCCTTCCAGCCCTAGTGCCACTCAAAGATTGCCCTCCCCCATAGATACTCTGAAGCTCCCTTTAAAAGAACTGTGGGTTCAGTGGCTCCTGGTTGTGACTCCCCCGGGGCTAGCTTCCTGGGCCGCAGGCAACACACACTCCACTTCTCTGCAGGTCACCTTCTGGGAGTCTAAGATGACTGCTGCAGCCAGACATGAGCTCCTGGCCTTGAACCACGGGGCCCTTGCAAAGTCTCACGGGTAAGAGGTCAGAGAAGGGTGCCAAGTGGGGAAGGCAATTTAGAAGAGCAACGGAAAACAATCCGATGAGCAGACAGCTCCAGGAACAGAATGGTGTTTGTTGTTTTACATGGACAAGGGCTCCATATGTTCTTTGAGTAATTTTTATTCAACAGAGTGTTTTAAGTGGGTAGACAAACATCTGAACTTAAGAATAAATACGGCCGGGCACGGTGGCTCATGCCTTTAATCCCAGCACTTTGGGAGGCCAAGACGGGTGGATTGCAAAGTCAGGAGTTTGAGACCAGCCTGACCAACATGTTGAAACCCTGTCTCTACTAAAAATACAAAAACTAGCCAGGCGTGGTGGCATGCGCCTGTAATCCCAACTCTTCAGGAGGCTGAGGCAGGAGAATCACTTGAACCTGGGAGGTGGAGGTTGCAGTGAACCGAGATCGCTCCACTGCACTCCAGCCTGGGTGACAGAGCAACACTCTGTCTCCGAACAAAAAAAAGGCTGGGCGCGGTGGCTCATGCCTATAATCCCAGCACTTTGGGAGGCCGAGGCGGGTGGATCACGAGGTCTAGAGATCGAGACCATCCTGGTCAACAAGGTGAAACCCCGTCTCTACTAAAAATACAAAAAATTAGCTGGGCATGGTGGTGCGTGCCTGTAATCCCAGCTACTCAGGAGTCTGAGGCAGGAGAATTGGCTGAACCCAGGAAGCGGAGGTTGCAGTGAGCCAAGATTGGGCCATGGCACTCCAGCCTGGGTAACAAGAGTGAAACTCTGTCTCAAAAAAAAAAAAAAAAGAATAAATCCACTTCTCTCAGGGAAGAGCATCCTGGACAGGAAGACCGCCTTCTCGGTGGGTCTTGCCTCTGCAAACTCCAGAGGATGGAGTGATGTGTGTCTGAGCACAATAGGCCTGGCAAGGTGAGAGCCGGCAGCAGCTTGGTCTGTTGAGGTTTCTTGCTCCAGAAAGCCAAGCTCAGCTCAGCCTGGATAGGGGCCTACGTTTCTGCCGCAGTGCTTCCTCCAGCAGCTGAAGGTTCTCATCTTCCCTTGTGGCACAGATCATGTGAGGGGAGGATCGTGGTTGTTACCATTCCTCATTCCATCTAGGAATGAGGCTTTGTGAAAGGTTTTGGAAGAGACAGAGGAGTCATGGGATGGGCTGAACTGGGCACTGCCTTCCCATTTACATGTTCAATTGCTAATGCCCCAACCCTCAATGAGACCTGTATTTGGAAATAGGGTCACTGCAGATATAATTACTAAGATGAGGTCATCCTGGAATCTTTATAAAAAGGGAAAATTTGGAGGCCGACACATATGCAAGGGGAACACCATGTGAAGATGAAGGCAGAGATGAGGGTGATGCTTCCATGAGCCACAGAATGCCGAAGATGGCCAGCAAACCATCACATGCTAGGGGAGAGGTGTGGAGCAGTTGCCTTCTCACTGCCTTGAGAAAGAGCCAAGCCTGCCAATGCCTTGAACTCAGACTTCTGGCCTCTAGAACTGAGAGACAAGAAGTTTATCTGGCTTCAGCCAGCCAGGCTGTGGTGCTTTGTTACACAGCAGCACTAGCAAACTGATACAAGTGGTATGGATTATGGTGGGGACATGTAGGGAGGAAAAAGATTCTTCTAGGAAGCCTCCTGGGGCCTTCAGGTAGATGCCCAGAGGCTGGGAACCAATAATAACAATGTGTAGTCCAGCCAGGCCAGCTCTGCTTCTCCACGGGGGTCAGGAAAGGCATTTTTGCTTCCTCGCCCTTCGATTCACCTGTCTGCATGTCTGTTCAAGATAAAAAGAAAGCTAAGCTCCTTCAAGTATCCAGTGGGTCATTTGCTCATACCAGGATGTAGGAAGTTAAGGCAATTCTCAGTGTTATCCTAGGCAGGATGGAGATAGACACCACTGGGGATAACCAGCCATGGGAAGGACATACAAACTCCTGTCATGCCTAGTTTACTTTTGGCACAAGCCAGTATTTTGGATGGGATACTACTCAGCCATTTAAAAAAATGAATGAATGGCATTTTCAGCACCTGGATAGGATTGGAGACCACTATTCTAAATGAAGTGACTCAGGAATGGAAAACCAAGCATCGTATGTTCTCACTGGTAAGTGGAAGCTAAGCTATGAGGACGCAAAGGCGTAAAAACAACACACGGGACTTTGGGGACTCTGGGGGAAGGGCTGGGAAGCAGGGGAGGGATAAAAGACTGCACTTTGCATACAATGTGTACTTCTCGGGTGACGGGTGCACCAACATCTCACAAATCACCGTGAAAGAACCTCCTCATGTAACCAAATACCACCTGTGCCCACAAATACCTAGGGAAATAGTTTTGTTTTTTTTTAAGTTAGCATTTTATCTGCCTGCAGTCTGCCTTCTTGTAGAATTTGGGGTGAGTTTTGATCCCCACACCATGTGAAAAACTCTTGTGGTAATTCATTATTTTCCCAAAGAATCTCCCTGAGCTAAGTTTCACTTACTGCCCTGGATTGTGCTCTACATGCCAGAGCATGCAGCAACATCCCGGGTGTGTCATAGGGTTACCTACAGGACAGATATCTACAATGGGCAGAAATGGTTCCAGCCTGAGAACATGGCACCTTGAAGTGCTCTTTGCTGCCGCCAGGCCTTTCCTGGGAGTCTTCCTTGTGAGGGGAGGGCAGCTTGGACAGGACGTTCTGCTGCCTTTGCTGAAGCCCTGCGAGGTTGGCCTCAGGTCCTCCTCCCTCCCTGGACTGTGGCTGGGCTAATGCCCTCCAGGTGGCCCGAGGTGGGTGCCTAGGCTGTCAATTTCTCCTCAGGCCACACATAGGTACCCAGCTCTGTTCCACTCAGAGGCTCCCAGCTGTTTGTCCCCCTATACCCTCAACCCCACGGGTTGCAGAACACCTTCTCTTTCCCTCCTTCCTTAGCTGGGACTCCTGGACAGTCATCTTCCTGGTCAGCCTGCCTCAAGGCCTCCAGTGGTCTGTCCCTCTTGCGTCACTCAAACCTGCCAATTGCAAGCTACTGGCAAATTCTGTTGGGTCTCGCCGACAACTTCTCTCACGTGTCTTCACTTCTTTCCATTCCGTTTGGCTCACCTAGAGTCCAGGTCTTCCCTGTGTCTCCCTTGCATTGCCCAGCAGCTTCCAGACACTGCTGCTGCCCAGTCCCTCCCCCCATCCCTGTGCCCTTGATCCGAGAGTCTCCTTGAGAAAGTACAGATGCCCAGCTCGGACACCCTCAACGGCTCTGCAGTCGAGGATTCAGAAGTCAGTGCTGCTCCCCGCACCTCCTGCACCACACCTGTTGGAAGGTTTGGCAAGAGGAAGGAAAGAAACTCCTGGCCCTGTGCACAATACTGCCCTGGGATTGTGCTCTAGTAGGAACAAACGCTGTCTTGTCCCCGTTCCACTCAGAGCCACCTAAAGGAGAATGGGAGAGCATGCAGGCCCAGGGCAGGAGCCAGGAGCTAGCTGGGGGAGGAGCTCAGGGAAGTGAGGGGCGCAGTGCCTGGTCGGTGTTGATGCAAAGGCCAGTCAGCCTCTGCAGTGAAACCCAGCGAGAGGGCCCCAGGGTCCTCACCTGAGAGCAGTGGTGGTGAGAGAGAGCGACTGTGGTTAAGAATCCACTTCCTTGGCTGGGCCCAGTGGCTCACACCTGTAATCTCAGCACTTTGGGAGGCCAAGAGGGCAGATCACGAGGTCAGGAGATCAAGATGAGCCTGGCCAACCTGGCAAAACCCATCTCTGCTAAGACAAAAACGAAAACAAGAAAAGGAAAATTAGCTGGGCTTGGTGGTGCGTGCCTGTAGTTCCAGCTACTTGGGAGGCTGAGGCAGAAGAATTGCTTGAACTTGGGAGGTAGAGGTTACAGTGAGCTGAGATTGTGACACTGCACTCCAGCCTGGTGACAGAATGAGACTGTCAAAAAAAAGAAAAAGAAAAAGAATTTCTTCCTCACCTCCAGTTTGCTGTGGGAAACAGGGCAAAGCTGAATCACGGGAAAGAGGGACAGAGGACCAGCTCTGGGGCTTGGGTGGGGAGCTGAGGCCCTCCAACAGCTCTGAGCCGGGACGACTCTTGCCTTCACTCCAGCTATGCTGAGACAAGCACCCACCCACACTGAGGCCAGCAGGGGCCCTCCTGAGTGGTTGTCTGCATTCTTACCTCCTTTTCTCTTTGGGGCTTTTCTCCTATCTCTAAGCATCAGAAGTTCAGCCATCAGTTAAAGACAGCTCATGTGTTGCCTCCTCCAGGAAGCTTTCTCTGATTTCCTAAGTCAGGATTAACCTTCTCTTCTCTATGCTCCCTGAGTACTTTGTTCTATCGAATCATTTATGATGTTCATGTATTTTTATATTGTGTGAACCCCCAGAACTTGGCATAGTGCTTGACGATATGCATTAAATAGATGCTTACTGACTGAATAAAAGGAAGAGTGAACACACAGGTACAGTGAAAGCTGCTCTCCCGTCTCTAGTCTATAAACATCTTGGAAATAAGAAATATGCTTGGTTACCCTGAACGCCTCCACAGTAGCCAGCAGTCTTCTACCTTGTCACTTCTCAATACATGTTGGCTAAATTGCTAATTTCATGGAGCTTGTGATTATAATAATTGCATATCATTATTTTTACCCACCTTCTACAAAGAAGAACGAGAGGAAATCTACTGTCCTGAGCTTACTGCGGTTGTGTTTCCTGCATATTTCAGGCAGTGTGAATTGTTTGGAGCTCTGTCACCTGCACTGGGGCACATGAGGTGGCCCTGCTGCCTGGCTGCTTTTCTGGGGGATGAGAAACACACAGTAACATGAGCAGCTTGGATTCCGTGCAGCACCTACCTTTTGGTTATTTTTGCAACTCTTTGCATGTACCTGATCTTATTTAGCCCTTCCAATGTCCTGGAGGAGGAGGCTATGCAGACCGTGTTGGTTTTGTCTCCTAGGTGAGGAGAGGGGCATCTCTGGGCTATTGGATAAAGGGCCTGCCCTCGGTCACAGATGCAGTTTGCTGAAGGTCTGTCTGTCCAGAGCCCAGGGTGCCTCTTGTCCAGTCCAGGGCATAGCAAGGCCCCACCACACCTCACAGTTCTCGTGGCCAGGCTTCCTGGGGCTGCTTTCTTCTCTCCTGGGGAATAGCAGCCCATTCTAGCCACCTGAGATCCCAAGACAGGAAACCAGGATGAGTTTGATTCCCAGCGAGGCAATCTTGCTGGCCCCTCAGCACAGCAGGAGAGCCCAAATACAGCCTGTGCCACTGGGCTTTGTTGTGAAATGTCCACCAACCCCACGCTTGTCTGAAATGATATCATCTCCCACTTCCCCGCTCTTACTCTCAAAGTTTGAGTTTGTTTCTTTTCAAACTCACAGCTTTCGCAAACCACTGGAGGGAAGAATTAATCTGGAATGTTAAGCCTCTCAGTGTATTTGGCTCTGCCTGCAACCTGGAGGAGTAGAATCGAGCTCCAATATCCTTGTTCCTAGGGAGAATATAGCTCAGCTCAAGACTCACGGCTGCAGCCTGGTGCCACCTCCTCACAGACTGGGCATGATCACTGTTTTTGCTCCTCCTGCTGCACCTGCAGGGGGCCTGGGAGGTGGGACCCCAATCATGATTGCTTGCAGTTACGAACAGCCTGCTGTGTGCCAGGCATTGTGCTGAGTGCGAAACGTGCCTCAAGGCAGAAAACTCACCGTCAGCCTTGTGTATCTTTCTCACTGAGGAAACAGAGGTTCAAACTGTTAAGCGATTTGCTCAAGGCCCAGGGAAGCCCACTCTGTCTGACTCCAGGCTTGAACACTTAATGGGGCCAGGTTTTAGGGCCAGGGTGCAGAGGTTCCCTTGGAGGGATCTGACCCAGAGGGCTTGCCTTCTAGAAACTTCTCTTCTCTCTGCGGATGTATTGTAAGACCGGAGATCAGAAACACAATCTCCAACTCACCTTTATTCTCTTGCCTTGGATATCTACCCTCTCTCCTGAATCCCAGCGCCTGTTTCCTAACAGCCAGGATGTAAAGCAATGGTCTGACCCAGCACTAGAGCCTGGGAAACTGGCACAGAGGTTGGCAGCAGAACCCTCGGACTGGTCTGCCCGGGGTTGAAATGCCAGCTCTGCCTTTGATGTTCTGTGTGACTTAACTGCTCCGTGCTTCAGTTTCCTCATCTGAGAAATGCGGGTGTGAGGGGCTGAATCACATCCTCCAAAATTCACATGTTGAAGCCCTAACATAACAGCACCTCAGAATGTGGCCATATTTGGAGACAAGATCTTTAAAAAGGTAACCAAGTTAAAATGAGATGACTGGAGTGGGCCCTAATCCAGTATGTCTGGTGTCCTTGTAAGCAGATGAGGACACACACAGAGCCCCAGGGATGCTCACACACTCAGAGGGAGACCATGTGAGGACATGGGAGAAGGCAGCCATCTGCAAGCCATGGAGAGAGGCCTCAGGGGAAACCAACCTTGCCAACACCTTGATCTCAGACTTCCAGCCTCCACTGTGAGAAGATAAATGTCTGTTGTTTAAGCCATCCAGTCTGTGGCACTTTGTTATGGCAGCTGGAGCTGGCTAACACGGGGGGTGGTTAGCATCATAACTATTTCAGTACCCATGCTGGTTATGCTCATTTTGGAACCAGACTGCCTGGGATGAAATTCCTGCTCATGCATTTACATATTCTGTGATTCTGAGGACATCTCTTAACCGTCTTAAGCTTTTGTTGTCCAGTTTGTGCAATGAAGATGCTTACTGTGCCTGCCTTGCAGGGTTGCTATGACATTTAGAGAGATCATGTACACTAAGTGCTAAAGACGGCAGAGTTATGCCGGAGCAGGAATTTGATCCCAGGTAATCCGATGCCAAAATGAATGCGACCAGAATGACTCTATGACAAGTCAATATTTTTTAATCATAAACTGTATCTCCCTAGTCAATAAAAAACGAACATTGTAAAATGTAGAAATAAAAGTAAAATTGCTCTCCAGATGTCACTGGCAGCCAGAACATGACTTTTCTTTGGCCAACGAGCCCCGAGGAGTAGGAAGGCTATGGCTGTCTGCCCACTCCCTGCAGCTCTTTGCATCTCTTAAGGAGCTCCCCAGACTCTGCTGCCTTCCAGCTAATTCACAACACAGAACTTCCAGAGAAAATGACTGCAAAACCCCAGTATAAACAGGAGTGATTTACTAATGTTAGGCAAACATTGGCAATGGGACCCAGAGTAGCATTGGCCATTGCTCATTTGTCGAATGGAAGCAGTTTCTCTCATGGCTCCTAAGGCATATGAGTTTTTGGAAGTTGTGTTAAAGTTGTGTTACTCTTTTTTTTTTTTTTTTTTTTTTTTTAAGATAGAGTCTCACTCTGTTGCTCTGGCTGGAGTGCAGTGATGCAATCATAGCTCATTGTAACTTTGAACTTCTGGGCTCAAGTGATCCTTTCCACCTCAGCCTCCCGAGTCACTGGGATTACAGGTGTATGCCATAATGCCGGCTAATTTGTAAGTTTTTATGGAGACAGGGTCTTGCTATGTTGCTCAGGTTGGTCTCAAACTCATGGGCTCAAGCTATCCCCCTACTTTGGCTTCCCAAAGTGCTGGGATTACAGATATAAGCCACCTGTGCCCAGCCCGTGATGTCTTGTAGACTATTAAGATGGAGCATTACAGAGGTACCTGCCATAGCAGTGGTGGGCATGTTGGGTGAGTCTTGTTGTGCAGGTGTTGGGGACAGGTAAGCCCATTTCAATTAGAAACAAGCTTGGCCCTGGGTTGAATCTCTGTCAGGTTCCTCTGAAGCCAGGCTAAGCCCTTATTCAGATACTACATCCCACTCTGTTTAGGAGCTGAGATGCAACCACATCAGCAAAGCCCAAGCCTTTCCTAGTCCCACCAAGCTTCACAAAGGAGGGTTTCGCAGAGGAGGCATTCGCATCCAGTTAGGGAGGTGGAGCGTCCCCTCTGTTTGGCACGGGGTTCCCTGGGTTTGGGCCTCAGCTACATCTGGGAAGATTGCTGCTACATGCTGGAAGCATCACAAAAGCCATACTTAACAAGTATCTGCCGACTTTACCGTAGCTCAGTAAGATGGAAAAAAGGAGACCTGTGCAGTCCTGTTTCCCAGCTGAGAAAGGCCACTGTGTCTTCTTACATTCTTACAATTCCCAAGGGACTGAGTTCTCCTCACTTTCTCCCACTTCCCCTCCCAGTAGATAATTCACAACAGCGCTGAAATAGAATATGTAGTCAAAAGAGAGGGAAAGCAAAGGAACAGAAATCCTGCAACCTTGATTACAGTGTTTGCTTCTGCGAAGGCTATAATAGAGTCTGCATGGGGTGGGCGTCCCAGCCGCGGCCAGTCCCCAGGAGCCCACGCTCTGCAGTTCTTCCACTTTCACTCCATTTCCTCATTCTCAGCAATGACATTCTGCCTCTGAGTGGAGGGCAGGTATTTGTCGAGGCGGCTCAGCCAATGTGTTTGACCTTTAGAAGAAAAAATAAGAGATCAGGAGACAGAGAGAGGGGAAGAAATTCTCAATACGTTATTTCCTTTTCTCCCTTTGGCAGAGCAAGTACTGGGAAATAATTGCCAAGAGCCATTGTCTGCTCCAAGTGTAGCGATTTAGTACAAATTCACGATTTCCTTTTTCCTTATTTCCCTTTTGATTAATCACGGGAAGGTCTGAATGTTTCCCTTAAAGAATCATGGCCCAGAACTTTCCTTGACAGTCAGTTACAACTGCTTCTAAAAAGGTTCTTGTAGTTCTTTGAGGCTGCTTCTCAGAGCGTTGGAAAATGGTGCATAACCAAAGTGACTCAGGCCTCTTTCAGGGAAACTGGGAAATATTAATCCTCCCATTTCATAGCTGCAACAAGAGACGAAGTGAGGTTAAAGGCCCAGTTCAAATAGCTCTAGCTCACGTATCATGGGGTCTGGAGATTTAAGGGGAATGCATAGGGAAGAAATAGAAAACAGACCCCGGGTTGATACATCTCCTAAAAATTGTTATTGCAGTTATTAAAGCCCTTATTTCTCACCTCATTTGTTGAGAAAGCAATAGGGCAGAGATGTGCTGCTTCTTGGGTGACCACTCCTGCCACTGATGGGGCCACAGAAGAGCCACTCGACCTGGCTGGGCACAGTGGCTCAGTCTTGTAATCCCAGCACTTTGGGAGGCTGAGGCAGGAGGATCACTTGAGCCCAGGAGTTCAAGGCTGCAGTAAGCTGTGTTTACGCCATGGTCCTCACAGCTTACTGTAGGAGAGTGAGGCCCTCTCTCAAAAAAGAACCACTAGACCTAAAGCTAGGAGCCCCTGCTAAGCCCAGCCTGGCTTCCATGGCCTGATCTCTACTTCTTAGAGTGACTTGGGTGAGTAACTGCACCTCCTCTCCAGACCCTCACTCTGAGATGGTGTAGCAGCAGAGAAGGCTCAAAAGTTCTGCATGAGAGTTGCTGGGCATAACCATGTGGCACCATCTCCCCTCGACCCTCCATAATTCACTTGTGTGTTCTTGGACAGACCATGATAGCAAATACTTTTAAGGCATTTACCCTGTGCCAGGCTCTGCCCTAAATCTTTGCATATATTCATGAATTTTTTTTAACCTTACAACAAAAAGCTGGCATTATCATTCCCATTTGCAGAGGAGGACACTGAGGCACAACGAGATTATGAAAGTTGTTACACAAAGAGATCACCTTTCCAAGCTCACACTTGCCATAGCAAGGAGCCGAGCAAAGCAGCCTGGCTCCCTCCAGCATCAGTGCCTTGCCCTGGTGCCGTCTTGATAGCTCCGTCCTCTAGACTCCCAGCTGCTCTCCTCGGAGGCTACTGTGGTTAATAGTTTTTTGTGAATCATTACAAAGTATGTTACATGGCATTGATGTGTATAAATACACACACATACAAATTGTAGCATTTATAGTCTTCCTTTTTGCATCAAATGCAATGACATCATCTTTTTATTTATTTATTTATTTTAAGGCAGAGTCTTACTCCATCACCCGGTTGGAGTGCAGCAGTGCAATCTTGGCTTACTGCAATCCGCACCTCCCAGGTTCACACGATTCTCCTGCCTCAGCCTCCCAATTAGCTGGTATTATAGGCACCCACCACCATGGCCAGCTAGTTTGTGTGTGTGTGTGTGTGTGTGTGTGTATCTGGGTGTGTGTTTAGTAGAGATGGGATTTCACCATATTGGCCAGACTGGTCTCAAACTCCTGACCTCAAGTGATCCACCTGCCTTGACCTCCCAAAGTGCTGGGATTACAGTCGTGAGCCACCGCTCCCAACTAATAACATGATCCTTTTATATCAACCCATATAGAGCTGTCATGTTGTTTTTGACACCTGCATATATTCCGTCATATGGACTGTAATGCAGAAACTCACCTCCTGATGCATGCTTAGGTTATTTTCATTATTTTCTACTACAAAGAATACTGCAATGACTATTCTTATAGATATATCCTTGTGCATAAGTAAGTTTGTACAAAATGAGTGCCCCAAAGATATTAATGTTCTAATCCCTGGAAAGTCCGAGTGTGTTATGCTCTAGCATATATGAAAAAAAGGATTTTGTAGATGGAATCAAGGTAGCAGACCTTAAGAAAACAGGGTTATCCTGGATTATCTGAATCAACAGTTTTGTAACATGAGCCTTTGTTATGGTCTAAATATATGCATGCCTCCCAAATTCATATGTTGAAACCTACTCCCAAAGGAGATGGAGCCTTTGGGATATGATGATGTCATGAAGGTAGAGTCCTTGTGGGGTTAGTGCCCTTGTAAAAGAGGCCTGAGGGGGCTGGGCACGGTGGCTCACACCTGTAATTCCAGCACTCTGGGGGGCCGCGGGCGGATCATCAGGTCAGGCGTTCAAGACCAGCATGGCCAACACGGAGAAACCCCGTCTCTACTAAAAATACAAAAAATTAGCCAGACGTGGTGGTGCATGCCTATAATCCCAGCTATTCAGGAAGCTGAGGCAGGGGAATCGCTTGAACCTGGGATGTGGAGGTTACAGTGAGCCGAGATTGTGCAACTGCACTACAGCCTGGGCGATAGATCGAGACTCCATCTCAAAAAGAAAAAGAGGCCTGAGGGGACTTGTTTGCCCCTCCCCCCACCAAGTGAGAATACACAAAAGACACCATCTCTGAGGAACAAGCCCTCACCAGACACTAAATCTCATGGTACCTCCAGGAAGGAAGACCTTGGACTGCCCAGCCTCCAGACCTGTAATACATTTCTGTTGTTTATACATTATTTTACCAAGTCTCAGGCATTTTGTTCTATCAGCTCTCACAGACTAAGACAGCTCTTTAAAGCACAGAGCTTTCTCCAGCTGGAGGCAGGAGGGATGAGAGAATGCCAAAGAGATCTGAATCATGAACAGGACAACTAGCCATACCTGGCTTTGAAGAAGAAGGAGCCTTGAGCTCAGTGTGGGAAGCCTCCAGATACAGAGAAAGAGCCCCGGCTGGCAGCAGCAAGGGATCAGGGACCTCAGTGCGATGATTGCATGGAACCAAGTTTTACCAATAACCTGGATGAGTCTGCGACTGGGCTCCCCCACAGGGCCTCTAGGTAAGAGAACTGGCCAGCCAACACCTTGACTTTAGCCTTGTGGCACCCAAAACAGAGAAACCAGCTGAGCCATATGGCTTTCTGAGCCATTGAAATGTGAGATAATAACTTTGTGGGTTTTTTAAACACGAAATTTGTGGCAATCTGTTACAGAAGCAATAGAAAATTAGAGCACTGCTGATTACTTACAAGCAGAATAGCTGGGTCAGAGAGAACATGCATAGACAGATACTGTCAAATAGTTCTTGAACTGAATGGGCATGGCACAAGCATCTGCTTGGCTTCTGCTGAGAACCAATCAGGAAGCCTATAATCATGGTAGAAGGTGAAGCTGGAGCAGGCACGTCACATAGTAAGAGCAGGAACGGGAGGGCAGGGAGGAGGTCCCAGGCTTTTTTAAACAATCAGTTTTTCTGTGAACTAAACGAGCAAGAACTCACTTATCACCAAGAGGATGGCACTAAGCCATTCATGAGGGATCCACCTCCATGATCCAAACACCTCCCACCAGGCCCCCCACCTCCAACACTGGCAGTTACTTTTCAACATGAGATTTGGAGGGGACAAATATCCAAACCATATCAGTAGGTCTCCATAAGTGATGGTCACTGTATAGTTTAAGAATTCATTAAAACGCATCTAAACATTGTAGCCATTAGTTTACAGATGGAAAACTAGTTTCAAGATCATCTGGTAGATGCCTAGGGTCAGGCCACAGAAGATGTGAACCCTTATCCCCTCAACCCCAGAAGGGTGTGCTTTTAATTTACTAACCTTGTCTCCAGATAGCTGGGAACAATGACAGGTCCCCTTTGAGGGGACAAGTGTCCTTCCCAGGTTGAGCACTGTTCCACACGGGCCTGTTAACATAGTGTCACAGCCTGTCCCCAGGGGGATTAAAATGTTCTCCCTGCTGCATAATTCTAAGGGTGCTTTGTATTCTCTTGTGATGCGGAGATTTGAGTGATGAAATACAGAATTCAACAAGAAATGTTGCCAAGACAACAAGGTTGCAGAACCAAGACTTTTCTTTCTTGGAAAGGAATTGAAAGGATTATTATAATTTACCTCCCCTTGGGGGCAGGCCAGATTCTAGATAACATGAAACCTTGAGTGGAACCATTTTTAGATTATTTATCTAAGTGGCTCTCAAATGTCAGTTCACATGCTGCTGTATCAGAGTCACCTGGAGTGCTTGGTAGGAACATAAACTTGGGGTCCTCCTTTGACTTGCTAACTCTGAGTCTCTGGAATGAAGCCTGAGAAACTGATTTGGAACAACCTTCTCTGTGTGATTCTATTTGTAACTGGATGTGGACGCTACTGTTCCAGCATCTTGGACAGAAAATGGTGGTCTAGCCTGCGTGAGCTGAGTGACTGGAAGCCCTGGTAGAAAGCTCTTGCCTGGGAGCCACGGTCCTTTACCCTTGAATCTCCACCAGTTCAGAATGCCTTCTCACAAAAGAAAACTCAGTGCTTTCATCGACGTGACAGCTTTTCAAGCACTTGAAGGCAAGTGTATTCACAGTGCCAAAGAGGCGCACTGAACTCCTCCTGGGAGGCTGGAGCCTTCTTCTGCCTCCCAGCTGCCCTATGGTGGTGCCTACCTAGGCTTTCTCTCTCTGCCTCCACATCTGTTTGTTCATTTCATTCAGGGGCCTGTTTTCTTCCATGTCAGGGCTCTAAAGGGCTCTGCTTCTGCCAAGCTGGTGTGTTCAGGAGTGCTCACGGATTGATGTCTCACTCCACTTCTGCGTATGCTGTTAACTGGAGTCTTCTGGCAGTCAATCCAATGGTTGCTGTGATGGTGAGAATGTCATCTGCTGGTGGCTTGCAACTGGAGGGGACACTGGGCTGTGGGAGAGCCTGGAAGGATCCCTGCCCTTCTATTATAGTGTCCACATCTACAATACATTCTGAATCTGAGATGATGGCACAAAATGTCTGCATATCCCTGTCTTGTCATTCTAATATTCCAGTTGTCTGGGTTCTACCCCTGTTCTAACCATTTCTCTATTGAAAACTTGGGTTTCCTGCCCCAGAGTCCATTCTTGCTCATTTTATCTATAGGATCAGACATTGCTTGTTCTTAGTTATTGATGTCTCTCTCCACTTTGTGGTCACATGGTGGGAACATCCATGGAGATGTGGCTTATGAATTAAGCTCTCCCAGAGCTTCTGTGACCTCCTAAACGCAAAATTCAGATAATAGGTGAAGTGTGGCTGTAGGGCACAGCCAGGCAAGAAATTTTTCAGACACATATAATAAGGAAACACAGGCTGGTATACCATCTAATCAATTAAGCTTTTTCCTTCCCTCTTTTTTTTTGAGGTGGAGTCTTGCTCTGTTGCCAGGCTGGAGTGCAGAGGCGCCATCTTGGCTCACAGTAACCTTCACCTCCCAGGTTCCAGTGATTCTCCTGCCTCAGGCTGCCAAGTAGCTGGGATTACAGGCATGCACCACCATACCTAGTTAATTTTTGTATTTTTAGTAAAGATGTGGTTTCATCATGTTGGCCAGAATGGTCTTGATCTCTTGACCTTGGGATCTGCCTGTGTTGGCATCCCAAAGTGGTGAGATTATAGGCGTGAGCCACTGCACCTGGCCCCTTTTCTCTTTTAAAACATGTCTGAATGCATATGTGTATGTATATAGACATGCACATATACAGACATTATATAGGAATATAGACATACATTGAAACAACAATGAATGTAGACACATATTGATATATAATGAAGTCATATATAATGACTTTCAGTGACACTAAGAGATCAAAGAACAACGAATCCACTTGAGAGAAGAAAGAACCGAAACTCAGAAAAATGAAATGAAAGCCAGGCACAGTGGTGTAAGCCTGCAGTCCCACTTACCTGGGAGGCCAAAGTGGGAGAATCGCTTGAGCACTGAAATTCAAGACCAATTTGAGTAACAGCAAAACCTCACCTCAAAAAAAAAAGTCAAATGACAGTTTTACAACTATAGAGTTAATTGTAGTAATTGAGTTAGAACTAGAATGGCAGAATTTTTATGGTTTTTTACTACTTTATTGTATTTCTCATTAGGCAACACACATGGTTCAAACATCAGAATGACTTAACAAAGATGCACACTGAGAACCTGCGTACGACCCCCTAGTCCGCCTCCTTCCTCCCCATCTGCCCCACCCTCACCTTTGTTTCTTGGGTATCTTTCCAGCATGTCTTCATGAGATATAAGCAAATATAAATGCATATCATTATTTTGTACCCTTCCCAAAGGTAGCATATTGAATACACTATTCTCTGTTTTTTTTACTAATATAATCCTAGATAACTTCTTTATTATGATCTTTTTTACCACTGCGTTATATGTAGTCCCTTCTGTGAATGTACCATAGTTGTTTTTGTTTGCTTTAATGGCTCGATTAAGATACAATTTACATACCATAAACTTCATGCACTGAAAGTATATCATTCAGAGGTTCTTTAAAGTATTTTCAGAGATGTGCAACCATCACACAGGACCATAGCTTGCTAACTAGTTACCTGTGAAGAAACAACTTGGGTTACCTCTCATCTGTTACTGTTACCCCCACCCTGAGAGCTGCAGCAAACATTGTTTTTTGACTCTTTGTACACATACTTGGTCCTTCTCTAGGATCTATACATGGAGATAAAAGAGCAGAAGGATTGCATGTCACACACCCTGAAAATGTTGACAGTTACTTTGTTTTCCAGGTAGACAGTGCTAATTTATTTTATCACCAGCCACAATGGAGAGGACCCTTCTTCCCAGTTCCCCTCCAGTGCAGGATATAATTCCTTTTAATTTTTACTTGTGTGAAGAATAAAAAATGACATATCGTTGTTGTTTCAGTTTATGGTCAGTTATACTTCTATTCTAAAAAAACACTTTCCACAGTGGTGGCCAGCCTCCAAGATGGCTCCTGAAGCCCCCAGCCTCCCTTGTATGTTCTCCTCCCACAGTGAATAGGGGCTGGCCCGTGTACCCGACAGAGCCAGCAGAAGCAATATGTGTGACTTTCAGCGCCAGGCACCATCTGCGCTTGGACCAATCGCTTTAGGGGGAGCCAGCTGCTGTATCACGAAGACCCTCTGTCCAGAGACCCATGCACCAAAAACCAGCTAGGCAACACCAGCTTGCCAGCTGTGTGTGTAAGCCACTTTCAAAGTGGATTGTCCAACTCCATCAAGCTTTCCGATGACTGTGACCCCAGCTGATATTGCCTGCAACCTCAGGAGAAGCCGAGAAACCTTGAGCTGGAAGCACCCAGCTGAGCCCCTCCTGAATCTCAGCCTTCAGAAACAGAGAGAGAGAGAAAAAAAATGGCGATTGTTGTTTTAAGCCACTTAGTTTTGGGGTGATTTGTTATGTAGTGATAGATAATTGCTATATTCATCAAATGTGCAAAGCATAACTGCTAACTCTTAGATGGTTTAATAGAGAGCGAGCTATAAATACGCACACCTTGATACAAAAGTAGTGATGCTTTCCATCTCAGCTTTCACTGTTATTGGTAATTGTTTGCTGTGGTTCCCATTTTTCCTCTTGTGCTTTAAGGAGACATTACTGGCATGCCTGTGTACAGCCTGTGAGTGACAGAAAGCCACATATCACTCCTGAGTCCCAAGCTGTCTGTTGGCGCTGGATTTGACTTTGTAGCTTTCCCAGGAGGTTCAGGATCAAGACTATTAACCTCCCGATTTCCTCTGATCTGACAGCAGGCATTGGTTTGCCTCCTTGGGTGTAAATGCTGGGGGCCAAGAGGAGCTTCCGTTCTATTCTCACGGCTGTATTCAGTGGAACTTGCATTTCGGGGACAAGCATTTCTGTTCTTGCATTCTGGCAATGGCACTAATTGGTTGTGATTGCTTCCTTTCCAAATGGGACAAAGATTTTTGTTCCTGCCTGATCCACTTCTCTGGCCCAAGACCTGCCCTTTTTGGGCTCTTCACTGAGCTGTCCTTGGCGCTCTACACTAATGTGTCTAGCTTAACAAAAAATGGATAGAGAACAGGAAATCAGTAGTTGGCATTGGGAGGCTCTTTTGTCAAGAAAGCTATTAATTTTAAGCCACATTCTGCAGTTTTAAAAAAGATCACAGTTGCAGAGGAGCCTCATGAAGAAGAGGGATGTGCGTAGAGGTTTCCTCAGGAGCCCGTGGTAGCCTGCTTGTCAATATCTACGCACTCCTTTGACTCAAAGCAACCTTGATATAGAGGTTACTTTGAACAGAGCATTAAAGATTGATGAGCAGTGAACCACACTACCACGGTGCCAGCAGTTTTCAGGCCTGACTTTTCTAGAGACGTGTCAGAGTAGCCAAATATTGCTATTCTAAAAATCTAAAAGCTCATTTCAAAGGCCAAGTTTTAAAAGAGGGCCATGTGAATGGTTCCCTCATGGCCACAATCCCTCTTACATGCAGAGACAACATTTTACTGAGGTGTGACAGCTGTGCTGTCTAATATGGTAGCCATCAGCCATGTGTTTCAACTCCAATCTAAATTCAGGAAGTGGCATACCTGCAAACCCAGCACTTTGGGAGGCCAAGGCTGGGGATCACTTGAGGCCAGGAGTTCAAGGCCAGCCTGGCCAACATAATGCAACCCCATCTCTCCAAAAAAAAAAAATTAGCTGTGCATGGTAGCATATAACTGTAGTCCCCACTGCTCGGGAGGCTGAGGTGAGAGGATTGCTTGAGCTGGGGATGTCGAGGCTGCAGTGAGCTGAGATGGCACCACTGCACTCCAGCCTAAGCAACTGAGTGAGACTCTGTCTCAGAACAGACAAACAAACAAATAGCTAGGAGCCATAGCTCAGCCTGTAGTCCCAGCTACTCCCAGGTCCTTGGAAGCCTGAGGCAGGAGGACTGCTCGAAGCTAAGAGTTTGAGGCAAACCTGGGCAACATAGCCGGTCTTTTAAAAAAAAGTTTTTTTTTTTAATCAGCCAAGTGTGAT